CCCGCTCGGCCCCGCTCCGCCCCGCTCGGCCCCGCTCCGCCCGCTCAGCCCGCTCAGTCCGCTTAGTCCGCTCGGCCCCGCTCAGTCCGCTCGGCCCCGCTCGGCCCCGTCAGCCCCGCTCGGCCCCCCTCGACCCCGCTCCGCCGCCGCCACCTCGCGCATCCACTTCCACCGCCGCCTCCTCGTCGCCGCCGGGGCCATGGGAGCCCAGCGGGCCGGGGGCAGCGGCCCCCACGGCCTCAGACTGCCCGGCCGTGCTGCTGGCGCTGTCAGCAGCGGGGAACGCGCGGCTCCCAGCGCCGCTGGGAGCAAACGCATCTCCCGCTCCGGCGGCCCCCTGCGAGGGTCGCCGCTCCCCGAACCTCTCCTCACCATGAATTGGGTGCGACTGCAATTAGGCATATCTACAGAACAATTGCCCTCATTGTTTGAGTTGTTAAAGCGTGATCCTGGCTTATCTTCACTTCGTTCATTAACTAATGAAGCAGAACAGGCTTTGTCTTTTGTGCTTCAGGCTATTCAGGGTCGCTATAGCTGCCGCAGACTGGAATTACCAGTCTTTTAAAATTTAATTTATAATACCTTTCAACCTTATGCCCGCTTATGCCAGTAGGATGAACCCCTTACAAGTTCTGGAGTGGGTTTTTCTGCCTCATGCCTTTCCTAAAACAGTAACCACAGGTATTGAAATGTTGACTATGCTCACACAGCGAGGCAGACACTGCTTGCAACAATTAATGGCATGTGATCCTGCAGTAATTTATATAGCGGTTGCAAAACAAGATTTTGCTTTTTGGCTTCAACAGCACATGCCATTGCAGATTGCCTTAGCGGAATTTACTGAGAGAGAAAATTTTCTCTTCCTCGTCACAAGCTGTTACATTCGCTGTCAGCCTTGCCTTTACAGTTAAAGACCCACCTTTCTCTAGCCGCTATCCCAAATGCTTTAACTGTTTCTAGATGGGTCGGGGGCAACAGTGGTAGCATGGGAAACAGAGTGATAAATGGAAGTCAGATGTTAGTTTTGTTACAGGCTCTACAAAGGTAGTGGAACTGGCAGCTGCTGTTCGTGCCTTTACTCTTCTTTAACAGCGTCCTTTGAATATTGTTGCTGACTCACTTTATGTCACGGGTATTATTCAGCGCTTAGACAGAGCATTTCTCAAAACAGTTTCTAATCAACGATTGTTTTCACTCCTTAGGCAGTTGTTGTTTTTATTAGAATACCATCACCATGAATATTTTGTTTTACGTTCAATGTTACCAGGCCCAATTGTACAGGGAAATCAAATAGCAGACTTCCTTGCTTGCAGCAGCAAAAACCCCTAATGCCTATCAACAGGCCAGACTTTCACATGATTTTTTCCATCAAAATGCAAAAGCTTTGCAAAGGTCCTATGGTTTCACACAGGAGAACAGGCTCAAAACATTATTCGCAGTTGCCCTGATTGCCAGGATATAAGTCCTTTGCCTTTGCCACATGGTGTGAACCCTCGGGGCTTACAGCCCTGTGACATCTAGCAAACTGATACTGCTCATTATCCCTCCCTTAGCAGACTAAAATACATTCACGTATCTGTTGATACCTGTTCATGTATGCTTTTTGCCACTGTAATGGCAGTAACTCAAGGATGGCTGGTGGCTCAACTGAAACAGAACGTATGGGTTACATTAGCCAATGTAACGGGTCAGGATACCTTGTGTCTTAGCACTGCAACACCCAACAACCCTTTTTTGACTTGCTTAGTAGGTGTTCCTCTAGATCTGCAGGAATTGTTCACTCTGTAATCACTCACTGCATACACCATCCTCCTGCCAGAATCTTATAAGAAACAACACTTATGACTCCTGGGATGAGTGGTGGCCTCACATAAGTCAGCCAGGTACAAATCCTCCTCAAGAACTGGAATTGTTAGAATCCCTGGATGCACATAGATGCATAATGTTTAGGAACAATGTCAGCACCTCGTGGAATGTTACAGGTACCAGACCATTTAGTAACGTGTCTCTATGGTGTTCGCATGTAGATAATAGTACCCTATCCTTTTCCAGTCCCATGACCTTACCATCCAGTCTTTTCCTCTTTTGTGGAGAACGAGCCTGGATTTTGGTACCAGCACAAATTATTGGAGGACCTTATACAGTAGGAAAATTAACCTTGTTCACTTCTAATACAACAATGATCCTAAAACACTGTTATAGATACGAGAGACATGTACACACCTTCACTAGTGAATGTAGGGATAACGTAGAATTTTGGAATCAGGGGACAAGAATTACTGCCTCTTTCCTAGCACTTGGAGTGGCAGCTGCAAAAACTGTAGCTACATTAAATAAATTAGGATGTTGGTTAGCAAAACAGACAAATGCTACTAGTCAGGCTATTGCAGATTTATTGACCAATACTCAGTCAGTAAGACACGTTACTTTGAAAAATAGAGCTGCTATTGACTTTTTGCTTTTAGCACAGGGACATGGATGGGAAGGATTTGATGGAATGTGTTGCATGAACTTGAATGACAAATCAACCTCCATTCACAAAAGCTTTACAACAGTTACAGGACCTAACAAAGAAACTGACGGTGAACAACAGATGGAACCCCTTTGAAGGATGGGATCAGACTTTGGGATTGGGGCCATGGGTGAAAAAGATTCTAATGTGTGGCTTGGTTCTAGCGGACGTAGTGAGATGTGTCTTTGTGTGGAGGAAATTGTTTGGGAGTATTTTTCTCCTGCTCTGTAAATGCTTTAATTAAAAAGTAGATATAGAGAAAAGCTACTAACAGGAATTTACTGCTGATGTAACAGGGTATATAAACCGTGAAAGAACTGTAATAAAGGATTCCATTATACTGCATGGGGTCTATGCCTGAGATGTCATGCATCACCACTGTAAATAAATTTATTACAGCCCCTGCACCTGGTACTTCCCCAGGTAAATATTTTCCAGGTGAGAACCCCCTGCCTGTGTTTGCAAAGGCAAGACTCAAAAGGATGTTTTTTTCCTGTCCAATGCTTGAATTTTTAATAAGGTTTAATTGATGCAGCCCTTTGTTACTGTCTCCATCCCTCAAATTCCTCCTGCTCCAGGCTGCAGCTTGGGGTGTTTCGGGGTGAGAAACAGGTTGGGAAGGAAGAAGTGGGAAAACGGGATGGAG